CTTTATGTGGCTATCTTGCCAGTACAGGATCCATTTATAGGAAAACCTGTCTGTTCATCCCTTTGCTGTTTATCAGTGCCATCTTTGAACCTTTTCAAAAGAATCCTACTTTACATTTTTCAGGAACTAACAGCAACATCATTCCTCTTTAGTTTGATAGCAGTTGTCGATGTTTTCAGAATCAGGATTATATACTTTAAAAAAAAAAAAAATTCTTCTTCTACCACAGAACCTACACAAGGGAATTTCAGTATTTCATCTGGTGTTCTCTTAGGCCGTCAGGACTCGATAGCATAGCTACACTTCGTATCCAAATCAGAGAGAAATCATTATCCTCATGGGTGATGTAATGAAGATCCCTTGAAAGAAACGGACTCACGAAAAGAATTGAATGCCCACATCAGAAAGAGACAAACTACATTCTTTGGTCATATTAAGAGAAGGAGAAAACTAGAGTACACCGTGACAGTGGGAGAGTTGGAAATGAAGAGAGAGAAAGAGAGAGAAGAGAGAGAGAGAGAGAGAGAGAGAGAGAGAGAGAGAGAGAGAGAGAGAGAGAGAGAGAGAGGCAAAAGGAGACCGATAGAGAAGATACTAGACAGTTTGACATCATGGCATGGAGGATCATCTACGTCAGAGCTGACTGAAAGTACACGAGCCAGAAGGTAGTTGTCAGACAGAACTCCTCAACGCCACACGGCATAGACTTTAAAAAGATGATGTCTTCAGCACTCGTTATCTCTCGTACAACATCATTTATGTCCATTCTGCACACATAAGATCCATTTTCAAGTGCACGGTTGCCTGCGAGGTCATTCGCCATCTCCCTGACCTCTCACACTGGCATGACCTAGGTGAAAGATGCAGGTGATGGTACGAAGCGTTGCTTTTTGTAACAATTGATCCTATTCTCTTCGTATGTTTCCAGCTTTGATGTCTTGTTTTGATTGTTTTCATGGTCACCCAGTAACCACGCAGGTGGAAATTCTTGAGTCTGTAGCCTAATTATAGGGTTGCAGCAGAGGCTCCACTGGCTTCCTGAATAGTTTTTCTCTTTGAACTTGCCATGAACGTCCAGGCACTTTGTTTATGGCGAACTGCAGAAAGTCCATGTACAGAATCATCTGCGGATGTGTAGTCACATATTAGTGTTATGACTTCTGCATCGACTATTGCAGGAGCCAAGTCGCAACATTGATACAATACCAAGGGATACGTATGTGTGAGTCTGTATAAGTTATGACACAGACAGACAGACAGACAGACAGACAGACAGACAGACAGACAGACAGACAGACAGACAGACAGACAGACAGACAGACAGACAGACAGACAGACAGCCAGCCAGACAGACAGACAGACAGACAGACAGACCGACAGACAGACAGACAGACAGACAGACAGACAGACAGACAGACAGACAGACAGACAGACAGACAGACAGACAGATAGATAGATAGATAGATAGATAGATAGATAGATTAGATTAGATTAGATTAGATAGATAGACAGAGAAAGGTCAAATTTGCTAGAAAAAAAAAATACTATGTTACCAAAGGAGAGAACTTTATTAAGTTTCCTCACTGTGATCTACGCAGTGTCAGCATCGTTTCCTGAAGTTTCTTGATAGATAGACAGAGCAGGTCAAATTTCCCCTTACCAAAGGGAGGAAATATTTGCTCTGTACACGCAGTGTCATGATACTTGCTTCCCCTTGTTAGCTTTCTACACTAATACAGATTACATTCATTGTTAATTTCCCAGCCTATATTACATACTTTTTTTTTTGCTTTCTAACGCCAATTATTTTCATTTGTTTACCTATCAATGTGTCTAATGCACATTAATATCATCAGATGCCTTGCCGGCTGGCGTGGACGATCATGCCTCTCCACAATCTTTAATCTCCTGCAGCATGTATCAGTTCGTGTGCTGACACACCACCATGCCATCCAACAAGACTGTCAAGCATCTTCTCTCGTTGTCTTCCCCTATCCCTCCCTCTACATATCTTTCCAGTGGTCACAACATGTTTCATTTTCCCCTCTTCTCATAACATGCCGAAAAATGATGACTGTCTCCTTATAATGTCTGTGATAAGTTGTCTTCGGGCTCCCGCCTCTTTTAAAATTTCTTGGTTGCTCTTTTTTGGCTGTCCAAGGTATTTTAACATTCTTCTGTAAAACCACATCTCTGAGGCCCTCCAGAAATTGTTTGGCCTGCCTACCGATTGTCCAGGATTCACAGCCATATGTTAAAACTGGATGTATGTAGCAAGATAGAATTCTTTTTTTAACCCTCAATCACAAAGATATATTGCACAAGTTATTCTTCATTTAAAAAAATGCAGTTTTTGCCTGTTCTGTTGTTTCTTATCTCAGTTATGCATCTTCCATGTGATGTTATCAATGTGCCAAGATACTTTAATCTCTGTACTTGTCCCAAAATAACACTATTTTAATACACATTTAGGAAATAATTCTTTTCTTTGATACCACCATTACTTCTGTTTTCCCATTATTCAAATTGAGGCCCACTCTTCCACTTTCCACCACCACAATGTCTATCATTTCCTTTAGTTCTTTTTGATTTGTTGCTATCAAGGCTGTATCATCACAGTACACACATCTGTTAACTTTCCAATGCACAGTGCACACAATTGTTAACTTTCCAACACACAGTACACACAATTGTTAACTTTCCAACACACAGTACACACAATTGTTAACTTTACAACACACAGTACACACAATTGTTAACTTTCCAACACACAGTACACACAATTGTTAACTTTACAACACACAGTACACACAATTGTTAACTTTCCAACACACAGTACACACATTTATTATCTCTCAATCCATAGGTTTAAAAAAATGTATACACAGTAATCGTCCAGCAGTGAAATGCATGAACGATATTTGTGGTCTTTAAATACATTACGGTAGCAATGTGTTGCATGCAGTTTTTAAAATAACAGCCTGTATAAACATTTTGTTATTAAATTTATTCAGACACGAAGAGATGCATACAAGTTACATGTGTGTATGAAGTTACTGCAGTTCGTCATAATGGACCCTATAATGTGTATGAAGTTACTGCAGTTCGCCATAATGGACTCTATAATGTGTATGTAGTTACATGTGCTCAGAGTGAATCCCATTAGTCTCTAAACACTTTTCACAACTATAATATACAATACATGGCCACCGTAATTCGATCTAAATATGGCGGAACGTAATGATGACGTTTTTGACTGACTGACTGACTTTCTACCCCACCAGGACATCACCATACTATAAAAAACACCCGATGACACAATGTTGATTAACAAGTGCCACCATGCGGGTGAGGATCGCTGTGGAGAGGTCCCAGAAACCGCGTTCAGACAACTGGCCATACTGATGGCCTGCCTATATTGCGGCCCCTGGCAAAAGCCAGAGTGGGACTTCAAATAACAAAAAAATTACGTCCTAAAAGGGACGTGAGGATTTATGATGACGTTTTTAAACAAAAAACCTCTTAATTAGTTAGTTGGGTTATCATCATTGCACTCCTGACATGTCCATAGGCGCTCAGATCCTCCCCTCAGTATAAACCCTAACGTCCGATAGCTAATAGTACCAGTTCTATGTTGATTAACAAGTCTTCTGGTGTGTCTGGTGTGCGTCTCGTTTTTTGCTATGCGGACCTTAATTCCCAAGTCTGCCATTCTGGCGAGTGATGTAGATTCACTGCCCCTAAAGTCCTCTGTCCTTCCCATTTCTCTGAGGGCATTAATAATGTCAGCATGATCCATAGGCTGACCGTCTGTAGTGATAGCGGATCCAGCCAACCTGTCAGCTCTTTCATTTCCATCGACGCCTTAAGTCCTGGAACAAAAGCCTCTATGAAAATGTTTATGCATTTCAGTGCTGGCCGATACTGTATGTAACTCGGTATGTCTTTGTTAACTTCTCTGAACATATTATATACATTTGGGAACTTGCCCAGACAATGCGGGCTACTCAAAGCAAGTCAATTAAAATGGGGAAAAGTAGACCGGGGTAGGTATTGACACATACTGATTCAGGTTTTCGTGCTCCGTGAGTGTTGTTGCGCACGTAAAAAATCCCTTGGCGCTTGTAAATCGAAATGAGTAGCCTAGCGGCGTTGCCCGGCCACAAATGGGGAGTTAAAAATCTACCCAAAGTAGTTCCGAATCCTCGCCGATGCTACGGAGTTCGTGTACTGCGCTGAGATTTTCCGACTCAGGCTTGAGTTAGAAGTAGAAAGGAACACTTATGGGGGGTTACTAACCTAGTACCATGATGTTGATCTGTTGTTCAAACCAAACCAAACCATAGAATGTTTCGGAGAATTAAGGTTCAAAGGTCATGTAGTGTTCTTTTCTTGTCATGTAACTGAGGTCAGATAATGGTGGTTGTTTCAGAAACCGAAACATCGCTCCCGAATTTCTCAGAAGGGCTAAGAGGGCTCGAACCCACAGAACTTGTGAACACAGCATATATTATATATTTTTTAGCTTTAAAACACATATTATATTTATTTGTTAACCTTCGAACACACAGTGCACGCAATTTGTTAACTTTCCAACACATATTCTATTTATTTGTTAACCTTCGAACACACAGGGCACGCAATTTGTTAACTTTCCAACACAAAGTAGATGCACTTGTTAATTTTTAAATACACAGTACACACATCTGTTTACTTTCCAGCACACAGTACACACATCTGTTTACTTTCCAGCACACAGTACACACATCTGTTTACTTTCCAGCACACAGTAAACACATCTGTTTACTTTCCAGCACACAGTACACACATCTGTTTACTTTCCAGCACACAGTACACACATCTGTTAACTTCCCGAGTGCATCGGGGAAAGGGGGAAGGGGGTTTGTAAGTAGACAATGGCATAAACTTTTTCGGAGATTTCAAGCTCAAAGGTCATGTAGTGCGCTTTTTGGGGTGGGGGAGGGGTTATGTAACTGAGG